CTCGCCCTGGGGGCCCTATTCGCCTTAGCCGCAGCAGTGGCCTGGCTGATGGCTTCCAGGGCGGGCCCCCGAATGCGTCGTTCCCGCGTCTGCCCGGTCGTCTCGGAGGCCACGAAGTCAATTCTTTCAGAGATGGGCAGCATGGGCGGTCGTCGGCCAATATAGGTGTTGTAGGGGGAGAGACCGTCGCGGAAGGTGAAGGCGCCGCAAGCGAAAGGATTTTTAGCCACCAGCCGGTCGAAGGCCAGGGGGGCGTCGTGCTTCTTGAGGTCCTCTTCCATAGTGTGCATGGCTCTTCGGAATGCTCCATTTCTCACTTCGGCGGCGTTGGCGCGTTGCGCCGAAGCTCGGGCGCGCTGCTCCGTCTCCAGGGACTTCAGCTAGCTCATGGCTTCATCGTCATTAAGACCACCTTCACAATCGCAATGTAGCGTTCTTGGCCGCGTGGTTCCATTTGTCCCACTTGCAGCGCTCGTCCACTAATGTTTCCTTGGCTTTGTCTGGAATTTCGCAGCCGCTGGCGTGCCTGATGCGTCGGTCGATGACGCGGGGGCGATGCGCTTCCTGTATAAGAACAGGTCGCACTCCACACCCGCATTGAATCGGCCGAGCAAGCTCAGCGATGGCAACGCGGAGATGCCGAGTCGCTACCCAGGCCGACGCGCGCAGCAGGCATCCACGATAGTTTTTACCAGTTTGAATATTACGTCGCCCATGCCGATTCGTCAAGATCTGACGCGTTTTCGGTTTCGTTGCACGGAAGAACCGAAGGTGCAGTTTTCTGAATTCTTTGCCGATGATCGCTAGGTCGGTGCTCCTGAGCGCCTCGAGACTGGATTGGATTTCGAATTGAGACCAGCGCGGGAGCGTGCTCGCGCCTGCGCCTTGGTCAGAGGACCGAGGTGCAGCTCGAGCGAATGGTCGTGCTCGGCGCATGACGCGACGAGGCACTGCTTCAAAAAGGACAGGAATACCTTCCTCAGCCTCAATCGCGTCTCCACGATTGGCCCGAGAAACTGACGCACTATCCGCGTCGGCCGCGGGGCCATCAGTCGCGCGCGGTCGCGGCGGTCTCGAATGAACTCCCGATCGCCGAGCGGGCGATGCGGCTAGTCCGCCCCCCGGCCCAATGATCGCAGGGGCCCGCCACCTTCCCTGGGTCCAACGGGCATGGGTGCGTCGTATCCAGCGGGCCAGCTAAACGGTTTGGCGAAACGGCATTCGCCCGTGACATAGCTGCGGCCCGGATCTCGCTCATTCTAATGTTTCTGACATGCGTCCCATATCCAATGGGCCGAAGCCGCGTCGAAGCATCGGCGGGCGTGGGGATCTCTAGTGCGGGATGAGCTGTTGGCGCAAAAGTGCTCGGTGCATCCAAGACAACCGCGTCCACTTGGTTAGGCCCTGCCAAGACTGGGCGGACTCGCGGCTCGCATCGTCTGGTCGGCGCCCGCAGGGCCAGTAGCGGCGGTTGGAAACGCGTCAGTCCCCGTGAGAAATGGAAGGTTGGAGGTTCCTCGAACGCGTCGGTGCCATGGAGTCGTTGCCTTGGGTAGACTTACAGCACCGACAACGACATGGCGGAGTTTCGCAATGTTTTGGGCTGTTCTGGAAGAGCTCCTTGTTGCAGGACTTGCATTGTTCATGACGACCGCTGCACTTGTACTTCTGGAAGGGCCTGAGATGTAATTGACGATTGGCAGCGATCTCCGTTGGTTTACGCGTGTGTGTGCCACGGCTATCTTTGAGGCTCGTGATACGGTTCTGCAATATTGACACCACCTGCACGTGCGTCCAGGGCGGGGTATCGTTTAGCCAATGGGCCGCTGGCTGTTCCCGCATTCAGCATCTCAGCGTCGGTCCTGCTGTTCCTGGCGATAAGCCGCCTGGCTGCAACACTTCTCTCGCGCCGATCAACGCAGCCTTGGCGTCGCATGAGCACGCGGGCAATATGTTCCATGAGGGCACCGTAGATCTCTGCGGGCACGTCCACGCGAAGTGCTACTCGCCCGACAAAGGTCGGGCGACCGCGCCATGGCCATTGAAGCGCATGCTTGCGAAGCCGCAGATGATCATTGCAACCTCGGCGCCGACGCCCAATGCAAGTGCGCCGAGCCATGCCTCACAGGAGACATGGCTAAGGTGGTCTTGGACGAGCCACAATTAAGCGCCATGCGCTCCGATGAGCCGGCGACACGGCGCTTCTCCATGTCGGCGGAAATCCAACGGGCTGTCGTCGTGAAGGAAGATGACCTGCTGACCCAGCAAGATATCTTGAGTCGTTCGTCCTAAGCAAGGTCCACGTGTTCCCATGGCCGCACTTAAGATACGGCGCGAGAACCGATGCCTCGCCAAGGAACTTCTGTCCAAAATCCAGAATGCAGAGGCCTCTCGGCACGGTTGCGACTGGGAGGTCGCGCAGACTGGCCCCGGCAAGACCGACATAATCATGCGACTCCGCTTAGTATTGAAAGGCTCCATGGGCCAAGAAGCCTTTGCAGTGAAGACCTTTCCAGGCGCCGCCGAGCGCGCCTCGCCGCGCTCACTGGCCAGCGAGACGACCTGTCATGGGGGCTGGCCCCCTGCCAGCCCGGACGCGGGCAATGCCCTCCTTGAGGGTTTGGCTTCTGAAGAGTTAGCCGGAACAACAGGGGAACAGGATCGCACTGAATGTTCCACAATACCTCCTCGAAGTGCTTCTCTCCGACGTGCGCGACCTGGGTTTGAAGACGGCGACGAGCCCCGCCACTGTCTCAAATGTTTCTAAACTGGCACTGGCGCGAAGGACGCCCCACGAGCCATCTCCCTCAAGCTCCAGAACAGCACGGAGGCCATCGGTCGAACATTGATGCCACATGGTGCTTGCACCGGGCCGGCTTGCTGCCGAACGCGTAGATGACATTGACACATGCGGCAAGGAGGCCCATATCGACCCCCGCGCGCATAATGTAGAACAAGTGCGTGAAGTAAGTGGAAGCTGAACAAGCATGCCTACACGAGCTGCGTAGTCATATGCACCAAGACGGAGAAGGGCGACGTGATCAAGGATCTAGACGACTACGTCAAACAATTACGTCCAATCGTGCATCTGAATTCGTCAGGGCATCACCAGATGCAACGACCAGCAAGACTGTCAACGACGTGTTCGTCAGTCTTCGGAGTGACCTCGCCCAATTCTGGAATCCTGGATGATGGCGTATACTGCGCCACTCCAACGCATTCAAGCACCGACGGACCCCGGCGAGACGACTGAATGCCCTCGCTCGCAATTTACCACAAGACTCCAGGAATACCACCCACCGCGCAAAGACGCCCAGCGGCAAGGTGGATCTACACAGCAACTCGGGTTACCAAAAGCCAACGGGAGAAGGGGGCGACGAGACGAAAGGTCACGATCTTCGAGGACGCAGCCTGCTGCGTCGTGGGATCACTAGCAGCGAGGAGGAGGTGATCCTTTGCTTCGACAGCCTGTGCAAGTCCCACCGTCTCCAAGTTTGCTCCAGTTCTGCTGCCGAGGCCCTTGCTGCTGCGCGCGGCGTGGACGAAGGCTACCCTGCCTTAGTGACGTTACATGAGCTCCTGAAGGCCCATGGATTTTCTCTGGTTTCAAACATTCTCGTGGGCGAGGTGGGCCCAGCATCGAGGTGCCCTTCGCAATCGATGCCGCGCCCGCTGGCAGGTCTCTCTCTCCAGCAAGGGCCTGAAGACACAAGCCGAAAAGACATTGCTGGGCCGCATCAGCTGGCTGGCTTAGAGAGCTTCAGGAACTCGGGATCATGCATGCCGCGCAGTGGCGAGGCGACCGAGATATGACGGCGCATGGGCACGCCGAAGGTTCTATCGACCGTGGCCTATTCTTGCAGGTCATGCATGGATGCTCGAGTTATTCACGCCAAGTTGAGTCATATGCACCATGTCGCGGTAATGTCCCCGCTGCCAACGCGCGGGGCCGCTGCTGTTCAAACGCCTCGATGTGCCCGCGCGGTCTGAGGGGTTGCTCAGCAGAGCCTTCGCGGAATCGCGACTGCTCAGAAGGAGCGCGCGCCCGCGCTCGTCTTGCTTGTCTTTTGTCGTGGGGCCACGATTGTTTGGAAACGCGCATTCCCGCGTTTTTTTCAGCCGCTCTTCGCCGGGAATCATAAGCCCTGTTTGGCTTTAGTGGCGCGGACACGGTCTGCCCGATGCGGGATCTGCCCCGTCGGCGCTTTTCCAGGGCTTTCTGGGCTGCCCGCCGGCTGGCCTAGCATGAGCTTTATTGTCTGAGTTTGCTGCCGCTTTTTCACATTTTGCCGCTTGGCTTACTCGTCCATGGAAACATGGCCCAGCGCTTGGCACCCTCGTATTTTGTTTTCCTCTTTGCAGCTGTTGTAGCCGAGCCTGCCGGCTACCCAATACTTCAGCGACCGCCTTAAGCCAATTATAGGGGCGGCAGGGATCAGGCTTCGTTCCCGCCCCTTCGACTTTGAGGGGACGTCATAAGGGGGGAACAAATGCTTGCCTATACCGCTGCCGTCCTGGCTCAAAGTCAGCGTCGCCCGGTCTGCCAGCGCTGGCGACGCCGCCTGCGCTCTATTTGCGGCCCTGGGAGCAAAAAGGGCCACTTGTGCTTCCCATCGCCATCTTCCCCTCTCCTTCACCATGCCACTGTACTACGGTGGCATGGCTCTCTCACTTCAAACAGGGGGTCCCCGGAAATCCGTGGAAATCCTGATGAAAGTGGTGGCTCGACCTTCAACTCTGACTTTCTCAGGACTGCATGAGCCTGCGGGCGCCCCACCGCGTTCTGCAGGCTTGGTGGCGGAGGTACATAGAGGGATACATCAGCACACACACACACACACACACGCGCGCACACACGTGTATATATTTACACAGAAGCTACATATATATAAGAGAGAGAGAGAGAGAGAGAGAGAGAGAATTGCATGCATTCATACAAGCAATCAAACAACCATAAATGCATACATACATACCGGTAGCGAGGGAGAGAGAGAGAGAGAGAGAAACAAAAAAAAGAGGGACCCCCCCACGCCCAGAGCAGAGCGTGCGTGTGGTCGCTCCGCTTTACTTGTCGCGTTGCTTTGGGGACCGATCAATGCAGATCTCTTCTGCCGCCGAAGCCCTGGGTAGCATCGAGGGCGCGAGGATAAGAATGCCTCTCGCCCTGCACTCCCCTCCGTTCCTCCCTCCTCCATGCCCCTGCCTCGCTTTCGGGGGCGCGAAGATGAACGCACGCTGGGACTTCGGCGGTGCAAGGCGCGAGATCGGCCGACCGAGGTCGCTGCTGTGGCAGCCGGGGCGCCCTCGCCTTCAGTCGCGTTTGCCTGGGGCGCGACGGCCAGGAGCCCCTGGTGGAGCCGCTGGCGGGCTCGCACGAGACGGGCAGGCACGGCGGCTCCAGGTCCAGTTCTGCCACCTCGTGCGTCACCAGCATGGCCTCGGTGAGGTCGGCGGTGGCCCAGATCGTGTGCAGAGGCTGCCATTTCCTGCGGGCGGTGCTCACCATGCTGGTGATGGGCATTCGGCTGGGCCTGTTCTCGCTGCTGCTCTTGGTGCCCTTCTTGCGCGTGGGGCGCAAATACTTCGTAGATTCTCGCATCTCCCGCGGGATCCGGTTCGGGGCCAGGCCACGGCAGCTGCTGGACATCGAGCTGCTTGCGGCAAGCCCAAGGCCAGACAACGTGTCAGCGCAGCCCAATGTTCTGCCGCTTTTTCAAAACAGGGTCGGTTGCCGTTTTGGGAAGCATCGCTGCGATGTCGCAGCGTGGCGCGGCGGTAATGTGGCGCGGCTGTTGCGATGCCATTCGGAGGCTTTTCAGCTACTTGTTGGGAGCTTCTTCGGAGCCTCTCAGAGGCCCCTTGGGGCCCCCTCGGGGGCCTCTTAGGGTGTCTTGGAGGGCCTCCTGGGGATTCCGTTGGGGATCTGAGAGGTCTGGAGGGCCTCCTGGTGTCCTGGACGGTCTGAGGACCTCTTGGGGATTGTTGCGAAGGCCTGACTGCCGGTGCCGCCGACCCTGAAGGTGGACGGCGACAAAGACGGCGGCGATGATGTCGCTCTGGAGCCGAAAGCTTCTCCCAGGCAGTGGTGCTCCCCCCCAGGGGGGGAGGGGCGGCGGTCACAACCCCTGAGACCTCCCCCACACCCCTTCCGGGAGCCCCTTGGGACCCCTCCCCCCCCCAGGACGGTCTAAGGATTTCTTGGGGATTGTTATTATTGTGGGTTTTCCGAAGCAAAGAAGACAAGATGACATACGCATAAACTTTCTGAGCTCCGACAGCTTATGTTGATGCCGATTTTTCTTTCTCTCGGGAGCGAAAGCATGTGAAATTGCGACAGATATTGCACTGGTTTTGCCTCCCAGGGCCTCGTTGGAGGCTTCCTTGGGGGTCTCTTTGGGAGTTCATGGGGACGCTGGAGGCGGGCCTTCTGGGGATATTGGAGCAGTTGGACGTTCTTTGGATTTTCGTAGGCGAGTACTGGGGCCGCCTGGCCAGGTCGAGGCCACCTCGGAGCTCCTCCTGGGACAGTATTGCACCGTCTTTGGGGGAGGGGCGGTCTCCTAGGCCCACCCGCGGTGAGGGGGGAGTCGCCCCTAGAAAATTACACCAACCCTTCCAGGTAGCTGGCAGGCGTTCCGAAACATGCCCCGACGTGCCGAGGGTACGATGGCGGATCTACTGCCAAGAGAGCGCCCCCAGTCGCGAGTGCGAAGGCTACCCAGTGGTGGTGGCAGTGATGGGTGGCGCGTGGGTGATTGGTCACAGGGCCTGGAACGCGCAGCTAGGGCAGCGGGTCATGGATGCTGGTGCCATCATGGTGGCAATCGACTACCGCAACTACCCCTTCTCCTGCGTGGCGGACATGCTGGAGGATCTCGACGCGGGGCTTGCCTGGGTCTTCCAGAACGTGGCCTCGTACGGCGGGGATCCCACCAACGTCGTACTGACCGGCCAAAGCGCTGGCGCGCACCTGACGTCCTTGTTGCTGCTGCGGCGCAGCCTGCAGGAGGCCCAGAACGAGGCCGACGATCCGGAGGCCGCGGCCGCCTCGGAGGCCGCCGTGGAGCGGCTCGCGGCAGGCCCCCACGGCGGCGCGTGGTCGCCGCGGGACCTGAGGGGCTACGTGGGCGTCTCCGGCCCCTACTGCATGTCCGCGCTGGCGCAGCGCCTTGAGGTACGGGTAAAAATAGACACCACTACCACCACCACCACCACCACCACCACCACCACCACCACCACCACCACCACCACCACCACCACCACCACCACCACCACCACCACCACCACCACCACCACCACCACCACCACCACCACCACCACCACCACCACCACCACCACCACCACCACCTCTCTCGCCCCCTCCCTCTCCCACGGAAGAGGAGAGGAAGAGGGAAGAGGCGGGAGGAGGAATAGAGGTGGTGGTGGTGGTGTATATTCTTGGGACCCACATGGAGGCGCGCTGGCTGGGCTCCTGGCTGCTCTGGCGGGTCTGCGCCGGCAACCTGGACGAGTGGTCGCCGCTGGCGCTGGTGCAGAGCGAGGCGTGGCGCGCGGTGGGCCCCGGGGCCGCTGCCGCCCGGCTGCCCAAGATGAAGCTGTTCCACGGGGCGAAGGAGAGGATCAGGAGGAGGAGGAGGAGGCATGAGGGGACGAGGAGGAGGAGGAGGCATGAGAGGAGGAGGAGGAGGAGGAGGAGGAGGAGGAGGAGGAGCAGGAAGAGGAGGAGGAGGAAGAGGAGGAGGAGGATGAGGAGGAGGGGGAGGAGGAGGAGGAGGAGTGGGAGGCGGAGGAGGAAGAGGAGGAGGACGAGGAGGAGGAGGAGGAGGAGGAGGAGGAGGAGGAGGAAGAGACACCTGATCCTTGGGCCAGTGCCCAAGCTCGAAATTTGCGATATAGCGCCGCCGAACACTGTTGAGAGGCTTGCTGCAAGCCTCTGCCAAATTCGGTCGGAGCTGCTCGCTACCGAAGAACCCACATGTGCTGCAGATCCAAACTTCGAGGTTAGGGGAGTACACTAATTGGTGGGACGGGTGAACCCAGCCTCCTCCTAAATGGACTCTCCTCCCCCTCGGCAACTAAAACTTATCCGAGCCAGTACTTATGAGATCGAAGCACGGCGAATCCCTCCAAGCCAACCGCACCGCAAGCAATGATTGCCTTCGTCGTTAAAGCGGTGCACGGAGGAGAACACGGCAATGGAGGCAGGGGAGGGGGAAGGGGGCGGCCTGGTCGTAGCACGAGACTTGGTCGGGGCAGTTCTGGCCGCCATCGCCTCGAGGGTCGAGCGCAACAACCTGCGACGGACTAAACTCGATTCCATCTCCACTCTCAAGACGCGGGTACGAATCTCAGGGTCGACTCTGCATTTTCCAGCTGCAATACCAGCGAAGTGATATGTAATGTGGCTTCCAATAAACAACAACTCAGGGAGGTTGTAGCCGGGATCCTGCTCAGCTTCGATATGTGATGGAATTTGTATGGCACACACTTGCGACGGATCGCGAAGCGGAATTTACAAACCGATAGTTTTCCAAACATGACTGTTGGCTCCTCGAGGGGCTCTCCAGAAACCTTGGTACCACCCATCGGCAACAGCGCTGTTGCCAGTGACGTACACCATTGGCCCTCGGAAGTGCTTCAGCGCCAGGAGAACCCCCCAGACCTCGCCCCGCGGTACATATTGGTCTTCCCCAGGGAGAGGGCCGAATATGGCGGACCCGAACTGAGGACCGTCAAAATCCTGAACTACAACAGCAGAAACTCCGACGCGCCGAAGCCGTCGGTCTCTCGAACATGCTCCTCCTCTGGCGTCGCCGAACACCACAAGAGGAGCCTCAAACGTGCCGTAGCGGAGCGCGTGCTCGTCGAACGGCGCACCTACCGAAAAGAAATGGTCCCACGCCTCGTCGGCGCTGGGAGCTGGCACCTGGGTCCAAGCACTCGGGGTCAGACCTCGAAACCAAAAACAGGGTTCGGAATCCTGGCCCGACAGGGCCCTGGGGAGCAAGTGCTCCGAGTCGGTGTAGATCTTGTGCCCAGAATTGCATGTCGCCCACCCCCTGTGTAACGGAGTTTCGGGACCCTGGCCACACCTGGAGCACGTGTCGTCGCTGATGGCACCCGTCTCGTCATTCATCCTGGATGATGGCCAAGACCCCCCAACAGCCACGACCAAGAGTGCTTCCGAGAGCTTGGCCCCATGAGGAACTCCACCAAGAACTTTGAGCAGCTGCCGAAATAACTCGTTACCAGCTCCATCTTGCAAACCTTCACCGCAAACATGTTTTGATGCTTCCCTCCAGAGTTGCGAACGAATGGTCCCTTCAAACTCGGTGAGCAACCCGCTAATGTCCTCAGGTCTGGCAGCTAGTTCGTCGGGGAAGGACCAAATAGCACCTGCATCATCACCTTTAGCTGGCCACTCTGCGGGGGACACAGGGTCCCATCCGAACCCTCAGAGGTAAGCGATGATGGACGAGATGGGGCCTCGAACATGCTGAGAAACTTACCGGGGTGCAAGAGCGCGCAGATGCCGCACTAGGCCAGGCCATGCAGCACGGACGGGCGCGCGTATGTTGGGCTCGCTCAGTCAGGTCTTCAACCACAGCTGGAGCCCGTCGCGCGACAGCTTATACTCTGGGTCGTGCCCGTCGGCACGCAGATCGAGCAAGGTAGTGAGGCATCACGCACGCTTAGAAGAGGCAAAAGTGTAGCCCAACCGACGACGACATTGTAACCGAAACTCTCCAAAAGCGCAAGTGATCTGATGGCCGTAAGTCCCAGCTGCCTGCGCCCCAGCCGCCAGCCCTCTCGATGAGCCCCGTGGTGCGATAATTCCTCGACGAACGAGCGAACCTCCGAACCTTCTGATTCATGGCCTTGGCTTGGACGACTCTCAGCCGACGAGTGGCCCTAGCAGGCCTCCCAGCTCCCAAATCGACCCCGAGATGGACAGCCTGGAGAGCGCGCTGGAGGACGAAGCCCTTCCTGCGGAGCCGCCGCACGACATCCTTGCAGTTGGCCGCGTGCGAGCACATACTCACACTCTTGCTAGCATCTGGGGCCCGCGCCCCTTGAGCGTGCAGCAGGTGTCCAAGACGTTGCGGTGCAACCTATCGCGAACAAGCTTGCTTGTGCCAGCCGTGTGCTGTGTCAAACCGTCCGCCCGAATACGATACGACATGTTAATATGTGAGGTGGTCAACCGCATGAGGATATAATACACCATGCACCGCACAAGCCTGGTACCGCTCCTGAGCCCTTGGATAATACTCTGCCACGGCTGGAACGCCTGCGAGAAAGAGCCAAGCTGCGAGAGCACCCGAGGGACGAGGCACATCTGGAGCTTCATGGCCAGGACCACGGGAGGGAACACCATCTTGAGAGCCGATTTGGCCAATGGAGACCCCCACCGAATGCAATGCCGAAGCGAGCTAGCCCTTCATCGTGAAGGGCGCGCAGAACAACTTCACGAGGCGCGGAGTTGCCCGAGGTCGCTGCATCGCAGGCCGGCCCCGAACCCTTGGACCACATTCTAACTTCGTCCTCGCGGGCGAGAGACCAGGTCTTGGAAAACATTGACATGAGTCCGATAACACGACCCCCCCGCCGTTTCTCCCCGAAAACGGAAACCAATTCCTGAATACCTTCGGGGGAAGACGCTCCATGTCTGTCGGGCTGAGGCCATCAACCCCGAGTCCTGCTTTGGCCTTCATGGAGCGCAAGGCGCGCTGGACGCGCTCGGCGGACAGGGGCTCGAGCTGCTCCACAGCTGCCGTCTCTCGGATATCCCGGGGGAGATCCGTGACGTCTGAAAGTTGTAGTGGTTTCGGGCTCCAGAGGTCGTGCCACCTTTTGGTCTTGTGGTCGGCAATGTCCATGGGATGAAACATGGTCTTCCCTTCAACCTGAATCTCGTCGGGAACGGGCGGGGCCTTTTTGATGGACTTATGCAGGATCCCAGGGGCCTCCGAAGTAGTGATCCAGTCACGGGACTCACGCAGTGAAGAGTAAAGAGCTCGCCGTCGAGCCCGTCCTGCAAATCGCTTAGTTGCTAGAGCTAGTCGCTCAATCGCACCGCCCGAAAGAGTAGAAATATGCATCAACTTGGCCTGCCATGTGGTCCACGCTGCTAAACTAGCGTCGTCGCCGTCATGCTCCGCACGCTCGAGAGGAAGGTGGGCCCCTGCAGGCTGATCTCCAGCGAGTGCGATACACGACTGCGCCAACTGCGCCCGTTGTGCGGCACCATTGCCGCGAGACCGAGGCTTGCTGAGAGCTCCGAGAACTGCGATTGATCGACCCCGACAGCTTGCAACAACATCGCTGAGAGGCTGATCACGAGCCTCATCAGGAGCCTTCATTTCAACCGCCCGCAAGAAAGGACCTTGAGATCTCGCAGTACCTCAAGCCAAGGGAACCCCATGATGCTGTGTAATCACTTGCTCAACCGTAGAAGCTCGAGACCCGCGCAGAGCACCCATGCGGTAAAAAAGGCTGACCCCCGACCGCGTACGCAGCACAATCCCGAACAATTGGCCGTGCGTCCCGCTCGCCCGAGCTCGCGTGCCCGACCCGGCCCCTGCACGCATGCCGAAGCTCCGAGGGGGCTCGTCGGCCTTATTGTTGCTGCTGGTGGGGGCGGAGACAGCGGCGCCAGCCGTGCCATCAAAAAATGATTGCGAGACTAAATCGCACTCTGCATCAGATTCGCCGTCCGACAGACCGTCGACCGTCGCCCCGCTCAAAAGTGGCCCGTTCAGGATCCGCAGTGAGGTATCCGAACAAAGCCTCCGACGCCTCCGAGATTCTCTGCTTAGCTGCTAGACGTCCGGTGGCTCGATGCTGCTTGGCTCGACTCGACTTTGGCCCAGGTGTCGGTGCGACTCTTGGACGCGGTAGCTGGGGAAGACGCGCTGGAGTGACCAATTCTCTGCATGAAAGCTGAGCCCCTGAACTGCGTGGACGAACGAGTACTGCACAGACTAAGTAAGGCGTTCACGACTGGCTTCCAATCGCGTAATCGAGCATGGCACCCTTGCCCGACTCGCATGTTGCCAAAACGCCACTCGGCGCAGAGATAACCCCATCAACCTTCTCAATGAACCTCCGCTGGGCTAGCGCCTCGGGTTCTAGGTTGAGATCCCCGACAATGAGCCGCGGCAAACGAACTTGCGAAACAAGCGCGCCTAACTTGGCGCATCTGGTGAGGTTCCTGCCGCCGAAGCCGTCGGAGCAGGACCCGTAGCGAGAGATCGCCACTACCGAGTACCCGTGCATGTGGATAACCGCAGCACTGAACCCATCCAGCGCCGCGGATCCATCAGCTCGAAGGTCGCGTAGCACTGCGTCTGTGTCGTTCAAACTGTGCATCTGAAGCTGGTATCTGCACATCAGCCATTCACCTCCCTCGTTCGCCTTGTCCTGAGTAGCCTGCGACTTCTCTCGACCCGTAGCCCGAGCTCGATTCATGATGACTTTCAAGTGGTGCTTCCTCGCCTGCCCCCGCCAATATGGCACATCCTTGCCGCCCCCGGCATGCGTCTCGGCAAGCCCGAAGAAGTGGAAGGGCTTGCAGGCGGGAGGGAGTCCCAGGCCTGCTTGCCCA